AGGTCATCGTACTGATCCTGGCCGACACCGATCCTTACGTTTTTATGAGGTGCCGAACAGGTCATCGTACTGATCCTGGCCGACACCGATCCTTACGTTTTTATGAGGTGCCGACCAGGTCATCGTACTGATCCTGGCCTACACCGATCCTTACGTTTTTATGAGGTGCCGACCAGGTCATCGTACTGATCCTGGCCGACACCGATCCTTACGCCGCTCCGACTCGATATATGTCTAACTCTCCTATCTATCGTGAATAATAAGAGGAAATTACATTTTTGCAACGTGCACTTCATTACAAAACATTTCAAGGAGTTACAACAGATCGATCTAGACCTACTGGTAAAACTTCTTTAGGAACGCCGAGTTCCAAGGGTACTGGTGGGGGGTGCCGTCGAGATGCTCGAGACGGTAGGCCCCGTGGGGGAGAACTTCGCGGATTTTGTACGACCCTTCCCATTTTGGCTTGAGGGGTCCGGGGTCGGGCCCCGTCACCCTTTTGAGCACCAAGTCGCCGACCTGATACGAGCGCGGTTTGACCTGAGAGTTGATTTATCTTTCGCTACGTCTCTTGTATGCCGCGTTTTTCAGCTCGGCCTGCGTCCTGTGCTCGTCAATCAGGTCCAGGTTGGCTCTCAACGACTCAGAGTTGGATTGTTCCTCGAAGTTGGTTACTCGAAACGTCGGGGCGCCGAGCTCGACTGGTATCATTGCTTCAGACCCATACGCCAGTGAGAATGGCGTTTCACCGGTTGACGACCTGGCCGTTGTGCGGTAGGCCCAGAGTACACCCGGGAGTTCTTCCGGCCAGGCTCCTTTCGCGGCTTCAAGCCGGACCTTGAGCCCTTGTTTGATAATTTTGTTTACTGCCTCGACCTGGCCGTTAGACTGGGGGTGGTAGGGTGTCGAGAAGAAGTGTTTGATTTTGTGTTCTTCGCAGAACTTCTCCAGCTTCCTCCCTTCAAATTGTTTGCCATTGTCGGTGATGATCGAATTCGGCACTCCGAATCGACATATGATGAACTTCCATAAGAAATC